TCTATATATATATATAGTCTACTAGATATATATATATATATATATATATATATATATATATATATATATATATATATATATATATATATATATCTTCCTTTAGTAATTCTACTAGTTATTCCTTAAGTCCTTCTAGCTCCCCCTGTAGCATTACTAGTTCTTATTTTGTCTTTTCAGGTTCAGTTAGTCTTTCTTTAATAATTGTCGTTAGGTTATTTCTTTGTTTAGAAGATCTTCTAGTTTCTCTGGAAGATCTACACAAATCTTCTAGAGATACACTCCTGATCAAAATCTTAAGACCAGTCAAAAAATTGCAAGAATTTGCATTTTGCACTATTGAATCTTAAGAAGATTCTAAGTAGAGCTTCACAATGTTAAAAGAAAATATTAGTGCAAGAGACAAAAACATTTGAGCGGGGAATTTTCTGAAAACTGCATTTACACTCAAACATGATTTTTTTCAGCTGATCAAAAGTTTAAGACCATAGTCTTTAAAAGCCAAAAGCTGTGCAAAAATCTGGATTCCATGTCATGTTCTGTGAAGTCTTTACACTGTCAAGACCTCCAGGTGGCAAAAGCAAAAAAGCTCACTGACTTTGAACGTGGCAGGATTGTTGAGCTGCATAAGCAAGGCCTCTCACAACGTGCCATTGCTGCTGAGGTTGGACGCAGTAAGACAGTCATTTTGCATTTTTTAAATGATCCTGAGGGTTATGGAACAAAAAGTCAAGCGGTAGACCCAAAAAAATTTCACCAGCTCTGAACCGCAGGATCCGATTGGCTGTCCGTCAAGATAAGGGACGATCCTCTACCCAAATTAAAGCCATTACTGGTGCCGACTGCAGCCCAATAACCATCAGACGGCATCTGCAAGGGAAGGGCTTCAGAAACAAAAAACGTCTTCAAAGGCCACGTCTTCTTCAACTCCACAGAATTGCCCGTTTGGACTTTGCAAGGGTGCACCAAACATGGGACATTGAAAGGTGGAAGAAAGTTGTCTTCTCTGATGAGAAAAAATTTAACCTTGATGGTCCTGATGGCTTCCAACGTTACTGGCATGACAGAGAGATCCCACCTGAGATGTTTTCTACACGGCACAGTGGTGGGGGCGCCATCATGATTTGGGGTGCGTTTTCCTTCAATGGAACAATGGAGCTTCAGGTTGTGCAGGGGCGTCAAACAGCAGCTGGCTATGTGGAGATGTTGCAGCAGGCATCCCTCATGACTGAGGCCCCTCGTCTGTGTGGTAATGATTGGGTTTTTCAACAAGACAATGCTGCAGTTCACAATGCCCGCCTGACAAAGCAGTTCTTCCAAGAGAATAACATCACTCTTTTGGACCATCCTGCATGTTCCCCGGATCTAAACCCAATTGAGAACATTTGGGGATGGACGGCAAGGGAAGTTTACGAAAATGGACATCAGTTCCAGACAGTGGATGCCCTTCGTGAAAGCCATTTTCAACACTTGGAGCAATGTTCCCACTAGCCTCCTGGAAACACTGGCATCAAGCATGCCTAAACGATTGTTTCACGTCATCAACAAGAATGGTGGAGCTACTCATTACTGAGTCCTTTTTTTGGCACTTTGATTTCTGTTTTGGGGGGTTTTGGAGGTTTTTTGAGCTATGGTCTTAAACTTTTGATCAGCTGAAAAAATCATGTTTGAGTATAAATGCAGTTTTCAATTAATTCCCCGCTCAAATGTTTTTGTCTCTTATGCTGATTTCTTCTTTTAACATTGTGAAGCTCTACTTAGAACCTTCTTAAGATCCAATAATGCTAAATGCAAATTCTTGCAATTTTTTGACTGGTCTTAAGATTTTGATCAGGAGTGTATATCACATATATCACTATGATACATGTGGGTATCATTATGCTAATGATGCCCCATATGCTACTGACAGCATTTAGGCTTACATTAGCATTTTGGCTAATTTTAGCTTATACACTAATTCTTTAACATACTGAATGGTGCAAGTCCATGTTAGTCAACATGCTTGTGACTCTCCATAGGCACTATACTACAATTTAGCTAAGCTTAGCATCGATGTTCATTTTTAGCATCAGAACCAATGGGCACACATTGGCAGGCCCCAGTTAAACATCTTCAGAAATTTTGTAGTCAAATCTTGTCCTTGTGTTATTGTTACATAAACTGGTAAGAGAAAACTAAATAAACATATAAAGTTTCCCTCTGGTCTGTTTTCTTCATTTTCTATTCAAAATTAAAAACTTCTCAGAGGATTCTCACTCTGCACTGCCCCACTTCCCAATTCACACACAAAGAAAATCTGCTCAATGTCTTTTCTGCCTAGAGAAATCACTACATTTCTTCTTCCTGATGGTGTCTTCAACTCCCAATGTTAGAAAGTTGTCAAATTCAGAATGAGGTCTTATGCCTTGGAAGACTTTTCCTCCTCATTCTTTTGTTGTGGGATCTTCGTTGACTGTGATTGACTACTATAATTTAGGTTCGTGTGAACTTCCATTAGTGATCATCTTGGCACAATTGTTTTACAAAAGAAGTGACTTGTTACATCCTGAGTTGGTGTGAAAACTAACTACAGCTCCAAAATGTATGCTGTGGAGGACATCAGCGAGCAGAGCTGAGGTAGACAAGAGTTAACATGCATGGAAATAAGTGTCATCTACAGAATGAGTTGAAGACACTCAGGAACAGTGAGAAGTAGTATACAAGGCTTGACTCTGCATCAAAGAATGCTCATTAATATTAGAGGAACTACTCATTACCTTAGATCAACATTTAGGATTACATTTTTCATATTGGAACAAGATCTAGATAAACTCTGGTTAGATTGCAAATCTAGAACAAACTAAGAAAGTACCATCTACTTTATATAATCAAGCATGGAGAACCTCCTACTAGTTTATAAGTTATGGACTATTTATTCTTATTAAACATAGGGAACCAATATGTAGTTCTATGCTTTTACCTTGTCTTTGTTTTGGTTTGTTGTTTTGCTTGTATTTCTACGTAAATTATGTAAAGCACTTAGAATTGCTTTGCTGCTGAAAATGTGCTATATAAAATTACTTTACCTTAATTGTTGCAACGTCACAAAAGCCCAGTCTTTCTATCAATATGTTAATAGCTTAATTTGTGACTTGAAATTTTCTTCTTTTTTCTGCTCAGTTTATCATATCAAAACTTTGTGCTACTAATATGTGCCTTGCCATACTTGAATTTTCTATGAAGACAACAAAAAATAACAAAACATTGCCATAATACCCCTACTAGCTCAAAACATCACATGCAGCAGTGAATTGTGGGTAATACACTTTGTTGAAGTCAGCGTCAATGCAGACTTTGCATAAGGGTGGAAATAGGACTCAAATGTACGGGGCGGAGGCAGGATGTGTAGAATGTGGGACACACTTGGCACTTAAACTCCTCAACATGAAGGCGCATTTGACGGACACAAGGGTGGAACGAGGGTGAAAGTGCAATTATTGGGACAGGGCCTTAGAAGAAGAGCAGCTGTTTAATAGGAAGCAGCACAGCACAACTGAGGACAATGAACAATCAACAGGAGGGAGAGAAATTAAGCAGCACCATCAAGGCAGAACTAAAATCATGACAAATAATGTCTTTAAAGAAATTAAAGTTGAAGAAGTAATTCTATAAATTAGACAAAAATACTTCTCCATGATCATAGCAGATGTTTGTCAGGCTGCAGCATGTACTGAGATAAGTTTTTATAAACAAACATATTCAAGCATATGTTTAACATTACCGTACATACTTCTGTGGATGTTTCTGTTTCATTCCCTGCATTCACATAAAAACATCAGCATGTTTTTATGTGAATTATTAATTAATAGGAAAATATGACAGCGACAGATCAATAAAGCCAAAGAATTAAGACTTAGACTAAGAAATCTAACTGAAATTGAAGGAGTGAGAAAATGCAGATGGAGGGTGTTAGAATTCTCCAATTTAGAAATTAAATTCTTCCTTTTTATTCTCCCTTCATATCATATATCACTAAGTTCTATTCTCCCTTCAAATGTAACACACACACACACACACACTGTGAAAATAGTCTGTAATAAAATGTAGCAGCTGTGTGAAATGTCAGGCTGGCCTTTTCTCAGACACACAGTTTGAACTAGTCCAAATGTTACCCTTTCTCCTCTTCGCAAGTAAGAAAAGAGAAGGATGAGAAAAGGAAGAATTTACATGGACTGAGGGACAGAGCTGACTGGGAGTGTGGGGAAGGGACTTGTGGTTGAAGGTCTCAGGAAAGTAAAAGGAGGAAGACAAGAATACAGATGATCCAGAGTGCAACTCTATTTATTTATTATCTGAATTGAATTAACATTATCCATATTTACATAGAACAGCAAGCATTTATGGTATTTCAAATGCAATATAATTTTAATATACATTAAAACAAATACAAAATTTATGGAATTTACAATACAGTTATCTCTGGCCATCCAGTAAGTTATTGAAATTCCCTTGGCTGCACAACTCCTACATGTATTGTGACTGGTTGTGAAAACAAGCAGGTTGCACGTCATGCTCCAAACATACTGCTGCAATGACTAGTTCACTCTGGTGATAGCAAATATTGACAATGTGAAGCCATTTCTTCATTTTCAAACAAAAGAAGAAGAGCTCATATACTATATAAGAGAACATCAATTCATCTGCATAATCCCTACAACTGATAAGTTGCTGTGAACACTATTTCCCCTTGGCATCACCTGCCTGTGCAATTCCACTCAATTCTCACTTCCAGTCAGTGCTCTGTCTGGAATTTCTCTCATTCAGGTTGATTTCTGACATGGTGGCAAAAATCAACCTCAATGAGAGAGAATTCAATTCACATGGACAGGTCCCAGTAGACCATGTCTATGTGAATTTCCCCTCTAGGATGACTAAAGTATTTTAATTCATTCTCTAATTTAATTCCAACTGGACCAATCACCGAAAAGAAGGAAAAATTGTGAACTATGTGTAACCCACATAAAGTGGGGATAGCCTTTTGGGAAATAGAGATTGGGTAGGCGGGGTAGTCTGCCTGGCCAATGGGAAGTTTGATTCCCATGAATGTTTAGACCAATCAGAGAGCGGAATGCCACAGAGGCTCCACCTTCTTTCCCGTGTTGGCAGCGTTGATTGTGAGCGGGAGATCCGACCCTGATCAGACAGCTGAGCCAGAGTGAGAGTCTTTTGGTTTCTTTCTAATATCATTTATTGACTTTGAAGGATTTTTTTTGTAAATAGTTATTGTTTAAATCCAACTTATAAGTTAGAAAGAGTGATAAGTTTCAGAAAACTGAACTTCAGTTTTTTCTGCTGTTAGAACCACTAAGATCAGTTGGAACTGTTGCACTTTCTGGCAGTTGATTGGCAGTTGTTTTCAGTTCAACTGAAGGTAAAGCCTATATAATAATGTATTTTTATTTCACTTAATTCATTTTGTTTAAGTTAAAACTTAAAAAAATATGCATTTTACACTGTCTAGTGCCCTCCGTGTCTGGAATGAGAGTCCCTGTCTAGTTGTTTTGAACGTGCCGCACTGAGATCGGTGAGCATATTTTGTACCTTTCATTTGGTTTTTGTTCTTTTATCTTGTTGTCAAATAATGATCTTTATTTGACCTACTTAGTTATTAAAACGTGAACCTTTGCTGAGTTTGTGTAAAATGTAATGTTTTATTATTGTTCTTGGAAAAGGATTTTTCAAACAGTTATGAAACATAATAAGCTAGAATGGTTTAATAATAATTCTATGTTTCTGCTGGTCTTGTCTGTTGACAGATCAAGTTTTTTTGTTGTTGTTGTTGTGTTGTTTTTGGTTTTTTTGCTTTTTCTTCTCTTCTCCTGGATTGTTCCTGGAATGGATTCCTCTACAGACTTTGATGGTGAGCCTTCCCACCTGGACTTAGAAAGATCTGGATTTCCTCCCATGTTGAGTGAGACCTGAACCAGGATTTAATTTGATTCATTTGTCATCTAAAAGAGATTAGAGTGCAAACTACCAGGGTGCACCCAATAGATTTAAATTTGATATTTAGCACTTGGCCAAGTATTGTTGTTTTTCTTTTATGTATTTTATTGTGTGTAATTTTATTTTCTTAATTGTATGTCTTGTCCACTTGTGAGTTTATGATTCATGTTACTAAAGCTAATTGTTTTTTAAATTCACTCAACTGTGTATGTGTGTCATTTAAACACCCATCGTGCTCCGACAGCCGAACCTATTGGCCCATCTACCTAAAACATATTGTACCCTTCTCAACTGTGTTACATATGACACTGATTTTCTGGGCTGTTTTAAAATTGTTAGGCAATGGATGTGGAAAGGAATGAAACCATTCAGTCCTTGTTGACCACACCTCCAAAGATCAGGCCTCCAGCTTGTGTCTCTGACACAATACACCCATTAATGTGATTTTAAAAGATTAACTACCCAGATAGAAAATATGAGTCATGATTGATGTTTAAACATTGACGTTTCTGCCTGATGTTTAAATGTTAGGAAGAAACACTGAAGCCTGATATTGACATTGAATATCAACTAAAAACTAGCGATCAGGCCCGAAACCTGGAAGTAGTGATGGACTCTGACCTGAACATTCAGAGCCACATAAAGACAGTTACAAAGTCGGCCTTCTATCACCTGAAGAACATCTCCAAGATTAGAGGACCAATGTCTCAGCCAGATCTAGAGAAACTTGTTGATTACTGCAAAAGCGTCTGCTGCTCCTGTTCTCACTAGAACCAGGAAGATAGAGACATAACAGCAGTTTTAAAGTCCCTCCACTGGCTCCTTGTAGCTCAAAGAATAGATTTTAAAATACTGTTATAGTTTATAAATCACTGAACGGTTTAGCACCACAATACATTAAAGATCTGCTGTTGATGTATCAACCTTCCAGACTCTCAGGTTCTGGTTCTGGTTCTGCTCTGCATCCCCAGAACCAGAACCAAACAAGGAGAAGCAGGTTTCAGCATCTATGCACCAAAAATTTGGAACAAACTTCCATAAAACTTGAAACAGCAGAAACCCTGACTTCCTTTAAATCTCAACTAAAAACACACCTGTTTAGAATTGGATTTGAAATGTAATATGTAACAATGTATTGTCTATTCCATGATGCATGACTTTGTGTTTATGATGTAAAACACTTTGAAAAGCCTTGCTGCTGAAATGTGCTATACAAATAAAATTTGATTGATTGATTGATTGATTGATTGATTGGTTGGTTGGTTGGTTGATTGGTTGATTGATTGATTGATTGATTGATTGATTGATTGATTGATTGATTGATTGATTGATTGATTGATTGATTGATTGATTGATTGATTGATATTGAAAGTGGTCAGGGACTTACGTGTTGAGTCAACATTAGGATTTCCACTATATTCAAATTCATATTCAAAAATACTTCATTAATCTGAGGAACGTGGGATGTATACAGAGAGTCGAAGGAAGGCAAAGACAGACTGCTGCGGACCTTATAAGTGATCTCATAAGGTCCAATGAACATAGGTGATAACATTTTGGACATAGATTTTAAAGGGATGTCACATGCACAGAGCCAACACTTTTGTCCGTGTGTGTATGGGAGGGCAGGAGTTATTTTTCAGTAAGCATAAAGTAGTTTTGATCTGCAGTATAGTGCAGGGCAGAGATGGTGTTGGTCCAGAAGTTCTTGCAGCAGTGGATGTAGTGGTGAACAGAGTTAATGAGGTGTCTTTTTTTCATCAGCGGGAAATTGAGGAGGATGGTAGCTGAAGGAAACTTCAAAAGTTTCCAATGACTGAGGAAACATGAATTGTGAGCATACTCCACCAAAGGGAAAAATTGACTCCAGTCAGTTGGGCTGGTGGACGTGAGAGAGCGTAAAGTGGATTCCAGTTCTTGATTCATATGTTATGTTTGACCATTGGACTGAGTGTGAAAACCAGATGGCAGACTGACTTTAGTACTGAGTGCTTTGGAAAACTGTTTCCAGACTTGGAAGATGAGCAGTGAACCACGATCAGTCAGGATGCCTTGAGAGAAGCCAGGGAGGCGGAAAGCATTAATTTACCAAAAAGCATCTCACTACCAGCTTTCTTTGGCAGCTGAATTTTCAGCAGTACAGCTTGGTACAACTTCGTCAGAGCTCTGGCTCAGGTATGAAAGCACATCACTCTCTCCCTCCCCACCTCTGTTCCTCCGCCTGTTTTTTGTTTTTCTTTCTGCCAGCCCAGAATGTCACTTTTTATTAAAGGGGTCAACTGTGAAATAATTTAAACATGTCTGACATTCATTTTTTCTGGTTTAATGTACTGTATATTAATATTTGTATAGATGTAGCGCTTAATTTCTAGAAATACAAATGGAAACAACAGAGGGGCTGCATTCTGGGAATGCTGTGCAAATAACATTTTTTACATCTAAGAGGGTGAAACAAAAAAATTGAGTTACATTTGAGCTGATTTAATTTTGACTGTAATCTGTGTACAATTTGCATCTACAAAGAAACTGCTTAGCTGCAATTTTTTCTGGGGTCATCAGTGTAATTCTATAAACATTCACTGCAGGCTGAAATTAAAAAGTGACATTCTGGACTGACAGAAAGAACAACAAAAAACAAAAGCTAAATACATTTCATCTGGAGGCATTCTAATGCAACCAAAAAATTAAACAGAACGTCCAATTTGGAAAAGAGACATGCTTTTAAATTTTTTTTCTCAAAAATTCTGAAATGTGGTGCACATTTGTTGCTCACATGAGTGTATTACATTTAAGCAGCAAGTTTAGCTACAAATAAAGCTTTAAGATTTTGCTATGGTTCAATAAGCTATAAATGGAGAGGGAAAGAATTTTGTTCCATATTGAAATGCTGCTGCTGCTGTAATCCACTACAATATAGAGAACATAACTTGGTTTCAGTTACTGAACCCTCATCAGAGTTGCCCCAGTGACTTTATGACTTTATGCCTTTATGACTGTCAAGGGTGAACCCCGCCTCTTGGCCGAAACGCTCTCTGGATATAGGCACCAGCACCCCTTCAGATCCCACTATGGACAAGGGTGTACAGAAAATGGATTGATGGATAAACATCAAAGTTGTGTGCGACAGGTTTCCCTGAAAATTTATTTCAACAATGCCAAAAATACATAGAAAAAAACTGAAGTCTTTCTAGCTTTCCAAGAGTAAGAAAAAAGTACAAAAAAAATTCACTCCCAAACCAAAGAGGAAATAGATTAGATAGAAGATACATCAGAAATTATATATCTGATTAGAGTTGACTGACAGTTATCGTTAACAAATATGTCGGTAACTGAGTATATATGCTTTGTTGTTGATTCCTGCTTCCAGTGGATTGAAGTTACTACCATAATGCTACTTTATCAGGGTACAGTGCTCCTGAAAACCATCACAAAATATGCACAGATATAACAGGTTGCTGAATGACAGGAGAGCTTTATTAGAAGCCTACATCCCTGTGACAAAGCTGTATATATACACAACCACCATTTGCTAATATTTTTTGTGTTTCCTTTTCTAACAACAATCTCTGCTTTCTGTACCGCATGTGTCCTCTGAAACCAAGGCAAGTGCTGCACTTGCTCTAGTTCTCTCAGGCTAAAGGAGGCGAGTGGGAAATTGCCTCCATAATTGAGTTACCTTACATATCTATTCCCTATTCCCATCCGTTCCTATCACCCTATCCTATTTTATGTCTTTCTGACTCCATCATCAGCATTTGGCTTTGTGAAATTAGTTCTAACTTTATGAATTGTCAAGCAGGGCACACTATTTGATTTAGGTTACCTTTGAACTGTCAGATAGCACCGAATAGGAAAGTGTATACACCACAAGAGGAGATTAATTTATACAGAAAACAGAACACCAAAGACCACATACCAAAGACTGAAAAGAGCCTCAGTTGGTGATGCTGATGTAAATAAAGAGGGTGGTCTGTTCCCCCAGGGTACAACTGTCTGCCTGTTTCTGGTTAAAGGTGGTCCTCCAACCACAGCCAATCACAGAGTTTGACAGCTGACATGGGTCACAAAACTGGCATTGAATCCAATTGTTTCAAGTAAAGTCAAAGTAGAAAGATCCATCAAGGTTAATTGAATGAATTTAAGTAAATAAGATTTCTAAATTTTAAGTTACTTGAACTCAAAAATGTAATTTGCCATTAATAAAACAAATGGATTAAATGAGATTTATGTAAAAAAACAAACAAAAAATGTCCATTAGATGAACTAGAGCCAAAAACACTTTTCAGAGTGTATAGCGCTGCACAGGTCAGGCTCAGTTAAATGATGTCATCTATTTGATACCACAAAAGTAATTATTTCATTGGTGTCAAAAATTCCACTATTAACGTAAATGAGATCCCTACACGCCATTTATGATTTTTACTCCTTCTATCAGTGAAGCACTTTGTAAATGGTGCTTTGTGAATAAAATTATCCTAAGTGTTGATTATTAGGAGGGTGGTGTTAGCAGTATGAAAATGTATATAATTTAAATGTGAACTCACCTTCCATCCATCTTTTGATGTTTTTTTTTTCTTTATTTTTTGAATGATGTGTTAAACTTCCACTATCATTGCTTCTCTCAAATTTTAACCCAATTACTGCCATTTAACATTTATTGTAATTACCCCAAAACGCCTTCACTCAATTTGAGATAATTAATCTAATCAATAATTAAATATCTCTTTGAAACCTAATTATTTTTGCACTTCCAGTAATTACCTACACTAATTAACAGATTGACTGTAAGTATGTCATCACTTTTGTTTAGAGGCAAGTTCTCTTCATTATTTAGTGCTAATGGTCATGAAGACTGTATTCATCTAATTCTTACATTTTGATTTGCAATAATTAAGAGTTTTATGACTAACCCAAGTATGTTTTAATTAATTAATAATGATAATTTTCTAAAAATTTTAGTTTTGCTTTCTTGAAAAAGTTATACATTTGTACCTGTAAGATTTAACTGTGTATTAGTTGACAAGCAAAGTTTCACAAAAGCAGAATTATAAAATCCAGGATAAGAGATAAAGCCAGGTTTGTATGCCATAAATTCATTCTGCCTTCATCCATTTCACAAAGACCAAGCCAGGTTCAGAAGCTGCTGGCTTAAGTAATTCAGGTGAATTTCCTCAGCAGACCCTGAGATCGATCACAGATTCACTGATGCAACGCGAGATAAACTATGTACATCTTACCTCACACCAAATAAACA